TACGTTACTACTACGTCGACGAGTAGGTTACGTTACCTTACTTATTAGTTCGTTACGTTACGTTCGTACTCTCGTTCTCTATATATATATATATATATATGTGTGTGTGTGTGTGGTGTGTGTGTTGTGTGTGTGTGTGTATATATATATATATATATATATATGTGTGTGTGTGTGCGTGTGTGTGTGTGTAGAGTTAAACGACTGGTCAAGCTGCAGTGCATTCATACAACCCGTTTACAGCACCATATATGATGGTTCAAAAGAAGCTTACACGTGGTACGGATATACTTTCTTCTCCTACCATTTCCACCTGTGACATTCTCCTCAAATCAACCGGCCATTCGCACAGTAATCTGTGTCCTCTATAAACGTTCATAATCATCCTATGCCAAATAGTCCTCCGGCTATCCCGGTTGTCTGTCTGTGACTGCGTTTCTCTTATCTTTGTGCTTTTTTTATCGAAATGCCCGTTAACTGACCCTACTCGTATATCTGAGAATTATCGCACTTTCCTTTGCTCACTTCATATTGTTTTTCTCTTCGTATTGAAACGCCCTTTAACTGATGGTGTTAATATTGTTTGAGAGTTATCTCGAGAACTATATCTCTTATTTCTTATTATCGGCATATTCTTTTAGTAATCGCCAAGATTGATCACTCTCGAACACAGTTTTCAACGGGGTTGATCCCAGATAAACCTGATTCGATGGCTCGTATTTGGCATTCGCCGTTGGGAATTTGTTGTGCAACTGTCTGTCTGCACATCCAAATTTTATTCCACTTTCATGGAATGTTATTTTGATTATTTTATTTTGGTTTTGTTTTATTTTTATTTTGGTTTTCAAGTGTTTGTTTTATCATCTCTCCCTGTGCCATTGCACAGGTATGGCATCCGTCGCCTGGAGTTCTTCTTCTATTTCTTGCTGTCCGTAATGGTCGTGGCTTTCGGCACCGAATACATCATCAGTGAACCCGAAACCGCCGAAGTTATCAAGGGCATTATATTCCCTACAATGGTATGTCTATAAATAGAAGTGGAGTCACCGCACTATCTGACCAACGTAGTCATCTGATAGAGAATATACGTATGTCCGTGTAAGTGGATGGTGTGTTGTACGTCTACCCGACAGGTGATCGATGAGCTTTGAGAGACACTCACAAGTACAGACAAGGCTGAAAATTTATCGAAACGAGCGCTACATGTGGATGATTCGTTTGCTGTGTGTAGTCTGTACTCCACTTGTATAGTACTGCTACTAGTACCACATAATAGACATAATAGGTGCACCATTACACTGCTTTACTTAGTAGACTTAGTAAGCGCACCATTGCATTACTTTACTTATTAGACATATTAGATACACCATTGTACTGCTCTACATACAAGACATAATGGCTTAGTAGACATAGTAGGTGCACCATTGCATTACTTTACCTAATAGACATATTAGATACACCATTGTACTGCTCTACTTACTGGATATAATAACTTAATAGACTCAGTAATTTGTACCATCTTCTTCTGGGCTGCGATATGAGCTAGCCACAGCGTCATAACACCAACTGTGGGTGTGGTTGGTCGTAACACCAACTGCACGTATACTTCTTCGCCTCTTCGCTCACTTTAAAGCCTGATTTTCTACATTATACATACATCTCGCGTAACTATAAATCCTGACCACCCACATGATCTATTCCTCGTACCCCCTCCATCCGTCGTTTCCACAGGACCACTCTCTCATATCACAAGCCGTAGGTATGATAGGGGCAGTGATCATGCCTCACAACCTCTTCCTGCACTCTGCGCTGGTTCAATCACGCTCTGTCAACCAACGCAGCAAGAGCGCCGTTCGCCAGGCCAATATGTACTACGCCATCGAGACGACAGGCGCTCTATTGTGCTCGTTCCTGATCAACCTGTTTGTCATGGCTGTGTTTGCTAAAGGGTAGGGCACTAGGCAACTTTGTATAGTAAAGGCTACCTACTGTATGGGGTTACTTGTTGTTAGCATTAGTGTTATCGATAGGTTTATCAGTTTTAATTATATCAATGTGTTGGTCAGTATTAGTTCTATCGACATATTTATCAGAAGTAATTTTATTGGTGTATACATCAGTATTAGTTTTATCGACATTTTCATCACTATTTGTAATGGTATGTCGTATAAAGGGTCCGTTCAGTGCGCTTATCTTATGTTTATACCCATGTTTATACTATATTTATACCTGTTTATGCCTATGTTCATACCGATGTTTATTCCGATGCTTATACCTATGTCTATACCTAATTTTACACCAATGTTTATACTCAAGTTTATACCGATGTTTATACCTATGTTTATATCTATGTTTATACCTATTTTTACACCTAAGTTTATACCTATGTTCATACCGATGTTTATACCTATGTTGATATCTTGTTTATACCTATGTTCATACCGATGTTTATACCCATTTTTACACCTATGTGTATACCTAAGTTTATACCGATGTTCATACTTATGTTCATACCTATGTTTATATCTATGTTTATACCTATGTTCATACCGATGTTTATACCTATATTTATACCCATCTTTACACCTATGTTTATACCCATGTTTATACCCATGTTCATACCGATGTTTATACCTATGTTTATACCCATCTTTATACCTTTGTTTATACCTATGTTTCTCTCGACTCCTTCAGGTTCTACAATGTGCCTGGGATCAAAGCGGATGACATAGGCCTCCATAATGCGGGAGAGTATCTAGGTAACCGCTACGGTCAGGTTGCTCTTTATATCTGGGCTTTCGGGCTATTAGCAGCCGGCCAAAGCTCAACCATGACAGGTGTGTGAGTACATATACACTACATAAGTATAGGAGGAGGATGCCATGACATGTGTGTGTGAATGTACATACACTACATAAGTATAGAGGGAGAATGCCATGTTAGCTACTGTCTCGATATCTTCCACCGTGCATGATAGAGGTGGTTGTATGCATGTAGATCTGGGTGGATCAGATAGGCAAAGAAGATATGCATTCGCCGCTTGTACTGTGTCCCGTGGGCTATTGACCAAATCAGTTGGGTTGAGTTCAGCACACTTTGATCTTTTCCATTGTTTGTACGGGTGATCGAGTCTTTTAGGGTTTAGGGTTTATCTAGCTTCTTATGGTTTAGGGTTTAGGGTGTATCTAGCCTCTTAGGGTTTGGGGTTTATCTAGCCTCGTAAGGTTTATGATTTATCTAACCCCTAAGGGTTTAGGGTGTTTAGTGTTTAGAGTTTTTCTAGCCTCTTAGGGTTTGGTTTATCTAACCTTTTAGGATCTAGCTTTGATCTAGCCTCTTAGGGTTTGGGGTGTGTCTAGCCTCTAAGTATTGAGGGTTTATATAGCGTCTTCGGGTTTAGGGTTTATCTGGCTTCACAGGGTTTAGTGTTTTTCTAGCCTCTTACGGTTTAGGGTTTATCTAACCTCTTACGGTTTAGCTTTTATCTGGCCTCTTAGGGTTTAAGGTTTTTCTAACCCCTTAGGGTTTAGGGTTTTTCTAACCTTTTAGTGTTCAGGGTTTATCTACCCCCTTCGGGTTTAGGGTTTATCAAGCCTCTTAGGGTCTAGGGTTTATCTGGCCTCTTAGGGTCTAGGGTTTACCTAGCCTCTTAGGGTCTAGGGTATGGTGAATCTAGCCACTTAGTTTTTAGTGCTCATCTAGCCTCTTGTGGTTTAGGGTGTAACTGGCCTTTTAGGGTTTAGGGCGTATCCAGCCTCTTAGGATTTAGAGCTTTTCTAGCCTCTTAGGATTTAGAGCTTTTCTAGCCTCTTAGGGTTTAGGCTCCATGTAGGCTCTTAAGGTTGAGGGTTTATCTAGCCTTATGGTTTTAGGGTTTTGTGTTTTTAGCCTCTAGTACACGGTGCATATCACACATGTACTAAAAGCTCGTACTGTCTCTCATGGGTTGTCTTGGCGTCTCTCCGGTACAAGAGATTATTGGTACTGTTGGCCATACTAGTTGGGCCGAGTTACGTACACTTTGATCACTTTGATCGTTCTCACGCATAGTCTAGCCTCTAAGTACACAGTTTATATCGCACACATACCAAAATCTCGTACTCACAATCACGGAATGTCTGGGCGTCGCTCAGGCACCTATGCCGGCCAGTTTGTCATGTCAGGATTCCTCAATCTAAAAATAGAAAAGTGGAAGCGAGTGCTCATCACTCGCACCATAGCCATCGTTCCAGCGATCCTCGTCGCCACTTTCGCTAAAGCGGTATGTCTATAGTATAGAGCGGTATGCCTGTTTGATATGTGTATAATATAAAGCGGTATGGTATGTCTATTTGATAAAGCGGTATGTCTATTTTTTAATGCGGTATATCTATTTCATAAGGCGGTATGTCTATATGATAAAACGGTATGTCTATTTGTTAAAGCGGTATATCTATTTCATAAGGCGGTGTGTTATGTCTATTTGATAAAGCGTTTCTATATGATAAAACGGTATGTCTATTTGAAAAAACCCCATCAAGATATTTGTTCCTTGACAATATTTTTGAAAACCATAAGATATGTGTTACTTTGTCAAATGAGGTATGTTGTATTGGAAATCAGGAGAAAGTTGTCTGTCGTAATGATTTATGAGCCATGTGTGTTGTTTCGTCTGCAGTGATGTGTGTGTAAACTAATGCTTCGTATTTCTGTCACCAACACCTTGGCTGAAGAGAGCTTAAACGAGCAGAGATGCGCGTGCCTTGTTGATTGCTATGGCAACCACCGCCTAATGGGCTGCATGGGGCGTGTGGGTGTGTTGTTCAAAGCAGTTGTGTGTGCCTGCCTTGTTGATTCATGTTGTTAATTGCCGACATCTCGGCTATAGAGGTATATGTGTATTTGTCTATTGAATTAATAACAGATGTGGTGGTCCATGTACGTACTTACCACGGCGTAGTGGCGTCCACATATTGATAATCCGAACTTTATATCTACTCTATAAACGTCGTATGTATGCCATACATATTCTGTAACTTCATGGTAGCATATGGCACCCACCCGGCGTTCAAAGACGGTCACAGCAGCATAAACTGTAAACAGTTAGCATGTACAGTACATTCATACTATAAACTTCGTGAGATATCTCTTCTACAAACCTCAACTCTCTTCCATATCTCTTATATCAACTTCATATCCCTTCTATAAACTTCATATATCTTCCATATCTCTTCTATTTACTTCATACCTAGTCCACATACACCTCCCGTGTTTTTGCGATTGTCACAGAATGTGGATGGCCTTGATGAGATGTTGAATGTGCTGCAGAGCATCCAGTTACCGTTTGCGCTGCTGCCGCTGATTCGGTTTACGTCTGATGAGTTCATTATGGGCGATTTCCAGAATGGGAAGAAGCTACAGTTACTGGTCAAAACGTTATCGGTGGTCATCATATGCGTTAATATATATCTCGGTAAGTGGCGATGTGAGCATACGGATATGCTTCCGTGTATATGTATACATGGTTTGTCTGTGGTCAGTATATGTATGAACGTTTATCTCGGTACGTTTTTATGTATGCGTGTGTATAGACAGGCCCTTATGTGTATAAATGTGCATCCTACGGTTTAAACAGGCTTTCTATCCGACCTGTAATATATACTATGACCCCGCATTTGCAGTTGTCAACAGAGTTGGCGGGCGTTCTGTCGCACTGTATCGTGATTGTAGGATGTCATGTATATGCCTCACCTATACCTATACACATTGCTTTTAGCTATACCTATGCGCATTGCTTGTAGATGAGTATATATACCTTTGCATATATAGGTATACACGCGCATGAAAAGTGGATATGATATCTCCGTACACTAACGCATAAATGATGCTCTCTGTGTGTTCGCTCTGTTGCAGTCGTCAACCAGACAATCAAAATTCTGAGAGCCATGTCAGGGATATCTTTCGTGACTATTTCGTGGCTATTCGCTTTGACTCAATAGGGTTTAGGGTTTACAAAACCCAAGTCTGGTTATTTACTTAGTCACCAGCACTGTAGTTGCTACATCATCGAATAAATAGTCACAAATTGAAAATACCACCCGAGATATAGCACGAGCACACATCATATCTCATCTACTTTCAAGATACAACACACACACCCCACGGCACTCACTCTATCCTACCCTGTCCTTATGATTGTAGTTGCAAGATATAACACGTGCACACATCATGTCTCATATACTTTCAAGATATAACACACACACACCCCACGGCACTCACTCTATCCGGTCCTTTTTATTGTAGTTGCAAGATATAACACGAGCACACATCATGTCTTATATACTTTCAAGATACAAGACACACACACCCCACGGCACTCACTCCCACGGCACTCACTCTGTCCTGTCCTTTTGATTGTAGTTGCAAGATATAACACGAGCACACGTCATGTCTTATATACTTTCAAGATACAACACACACACCACGCCACTCACTCTGTGCTGTCCTTTTGATTGTAGTTGTGGACAAAACGGCGGATCTGTTACCACACACCTTTGTGATGATAGCGGGGATGTCCTGCTTTGGCATAGCCTATCTCACCTTCTGCCTGTACGTGGCGTATCCCGAGCTATTCCACGCCAATTTCTCGCAGTTGATGGAGAGGGATGGTACCTATGTGAAACTTGTGAGTTGCGGCACAATCTCTGAAGACGATGAGGATGAAGGTGTGTGTGAGTAGTATTAGTATATGTTTGTGTGTGTGTAGTACGAGTGTGTAGTATGAGTGTCTGTATATTCGTGTCTGTCATAGTGACATTATACTTGTATGTATATAGTCTGGCTGTGTATCTCCCACTACATATGCAGTTCGGTACATACATCTTGAATGGACGATGTAATTGGTGTATATGATATGACAGCAGTATTCTGTGACTGTATAGTCGAGCTGTGATGCGACTGTGTGCACAGTGATGCTGCCTGACTGGATTTGATACTGTGCGTTGATACACACATCCTGTTTATGACTCGGGCAAAGGTTTGAGTGTAACTCTGGTTCATGCTGAGCCAGATTTGAAGGATCTTCAATAGCTTTACTGTATGACTGTACCATACCTTAGGATGATTATTAGGGTTTAAGGGTTTTTCCTATGTATGAGGGCAATGTTGTACCTACTGTGACTTCTGTATTGGGCTCCTACTACAATGCAGTTGTGTGATTTATGCAGCGAGGGCATGTGTTGAGGTGTGTGCAATGCAATACGTTAACAACTAAAGCGGATTAATGTAGACTCGTTTGCGTCGTAGTGAAGGAGTGCTGTAAACGAGTGTGTGTTGGTATTATTCGGTATGTGCGGATGTAGGGAGATATATATATATATAGCTATATACATCTATATATCTATATATCTATATATACAATCTTACAAATGGAGCTACTCTACACACTTGGATGTGTGTGCTGTGGCAGGGTAACCGTGTTTGTTTCGACACCAGTGTGATGCGCTTAAATCATAATATCATGATACCACTCTGGAAGACAAGTCGGATTACGGGCACAGGCGACTGTGCATAGTAGTGTTTACTTGTACTGCTGTACATAGGTGTACATACATTCAACTAAATACAATCGTGAGATGTCTGCATGATACTTTGATTCAAGCGGTACCAACACCATTGTCTTTCTTTTTTTTCAACTGTCCTGATCAGAGCCTCGCTCACATGCCACGACGTTATCTGAAGTGGTCGCAGAGGATACGCCTCTACTGACAACTGATGTAACGTCGACCTCGAGCAGTGATGATAAAAGGCACCACCATGCTTCGTAGATCATCGTAAAAGGCACCACCATGCTTCGTAGATCATCTTGAAAGGCACCACTATGCTTCGTAGATCATCTTAAAAGACACCACCATGCTTCGTTGATCATCCTAAAAGGCACCACCATGCTTCGTAGATCATCTTGAAAGGCACCACCATGCTTCGTAGATCATCTTAAAAGGCACCACCATGCTTCGTACATCATCTTGAAAGGCACCACTATGCTTCGTACATCATCTTAAAAGGCACCACCATGCTTCGTACATCATCTTAAAAGGCACCACCATGCTTCGTACATCATCTTAAAAGGCACCACCATGCTTCGTACATCATCTCGTGGGTACTAGATGGGACTCTAGCGAGCTGAGACATGACTCTACAAAGCTTCACAGAGCTTCGCAAGAGTGTGCAAGGAAATTGTATCAGCGAAGGTCTGTCTGAAAGTTGGCGCTTCTCATGTGAAGAAGAGTGCCTTGCTCAGTTTCGCACACATTCGTCCTTCGGCGACGATGCAGAAGAGCTAGAGAGGCCACACACGGTACTAATAAAAGCTGACGGGAGTATACTTTACACTTTTAACGCGTTAAAAGCTAACGGGAGTATACTACACACCTCCAATACGTTAAAAGCTAACGGGAGTATAGTACACACCTCCAATACGTTAAAAGCTAACGGGAGTATACTACACACCTCCAATACGTACGGTGTTCGACTTTTGAGCCTTGACGACAGAAATACAATAAGCTGGGCCCTGTAACACAGCCTCTTCAAAATTGCAGCTGCCGCAAGGGTCTCGAATGATTATATCTAGATCATTCATTAGTATTTTTCTAGTGCACTCTACTGTTGCACTCTATTATATGATAATTTATTACTATGGTACTAGGTACACATATACACTAATATTTACACCATGAAAGTCTAACATGCTGTGAGAAACCAGGGTCTTTATTAGGAAGCAGTTGTTCAATTGTACTGACAGTGACTACCATTATAAGTATATTTACAAACACATCCAACTGCACTATGTGAGGTTAGAGCAGCCTCAGAAGTCAGGTCTAGCATAATGCGAGAAACTAGTGCCATAATTAGAAAATAAAATTGGTCACTTGTACTGACAGTGACTACCATTATAAGTAGATATACAAACACATCCAATTGCACTATGTGGGGTTAGAGCAGCCTCAGGAGTCAGGTCTGGCATAATGCGAGAAGCTAGTGCTATTATTAGAAAATAAAGTTGGTCACTTGTACTGACAGTGACTAAAAGCTGGATCAGCCTCCGGAGTCAGATCTGACATAGTGCGAGCACCTAGTGCTGTTGTTAGGAGATGCAGATGATCCCTTGTACTGACAGTGACTGCCATTATAAGTAGATTTACAAACAAATTAAATTGCACTACGTGACAGCCTCATAAAAGCTGGAGCAGCCTCAGAAGTCAGATCTGAAATGCTGCAAGATCCCCAGGACCGTTATTGTAAAATGCGGTTGATCGATTGTATTGACAGTGAAAATCAAAATGAATAGATATGCAAAAACATTTCAAGTGCACTATATGCTGCGAGAATTGAGCCCCGTCTTCTCTCAAGTTACATATATTGTCTACGGTTATATCTTTTCATAGGCGTGCCTTGTCACTTTGTGACACTAATAAACAACAAACTAATATCAAGCAACAGTATTAAATGTTGCCATAAAATTATCATTACTAACCAATAAAAGCATCAGTAGTGTTGCCATAAAAACACCATCATAAACTAATATCAATACATCAGTAAAATTGTCATAAAACTACCAATACTAACAAATATTAAAGCATCAGTAATGTTGTCATAAAATTACTTTTACTGACTAATATAGAAGCATCAGTAATATTGTCATTAAACTACCAATACTAACAAATATCAAAGCATCAGTGTTGAAGTCATAAAATTACTTTTACTGACTAAAATAGATGCATCAGTAATGTTGTCATTAAACTACCAATACTAACAAATATCAAAGCATCAGTGTTGAAGTCATAAAATTACTTTTACTGACTAAAATAGATTCATCAGTAATGTTGTCATAAAACTACCAATACTAACAAATATCATAGCATCAGTAATGCTAT